TTTTTATTTTACCACCTCCGCAAAACCCCAAGTTGCAACTTGCAACGCTCGGCGGAAATATACTAGCATAAGTTGCATAATTATATTATTGACCGCTCGTTATAGATGATCTGAAAATTAATACTTTTTATTGTAACCTTCCTAACCGCCCGGGCGATATTAATCATATCATTATACAAGAACGATAAAGGGTTTTTTCGGCTGACAATATTATGTATAATCGACTAAACATATCCATTGAATTATTTTGGTATTATCTATACAAGTTAAAGTAAACGCTTTTTATCTGATGGAAGCTGTAAACCTAACAATGCATTATAGAACTGATACAGTGTTTCGTGGATATATTTCACAGGCAATGCAACGCGGACATCAAATGGTGCCGCACCCTTGTTTTTTAAACAAATACATTGTCCGTCGACACTCACAGTGATCAATAGTAAAACTAAATTGAAATATACTTTTACAAATTCGAAATTAATTACATCCGGTATCAGGGCTTTCTAACTGTTTAGTTCAGCTATGGCTGTAGAAGCAAGTGGAGTGGATATTCTATCCACAAATCTAATTACTGCCGACGTGCTTGATATTGACAAAACCCTATGGAAAACCCTGAAAGCTACAGGGAATGACGATTCTCTTTACAACAGCGTTTCCGTTTTAATGAAAGGTTAGTAGTTGTATTCCTTTTATGCTGAGGTATTCTTTAAACAGGCGCAGACCATTTATTTTATTTGGTTTTAATCTTTAAGTTAACTTCATGCACAATAACTTTTTTTTCTAAAGTTTTAATAGCCCTCCTCACTTTTCTGGTCCCCACTTTTTAATCTGATCAAGAAATATTTTTCAAATTGCATTGACATTTTTGTGTATACACATAATATGTAGCTAGGCAACATAATTAAATATAAAAACAATCCTCAGAACACGGGAAATCGTTTCTGAGACGTTCTAGAAAACACAATTTTTGAGGGGGAGATCCCCCAAAACCCCCTAATGGGAGGGGGAAGACCCCTCCCATACCCTCCCCCTCCTCGCGCTACGCGCACGGGGTGCTGCCTTCGGCAGCACACCGTCGACTATGGAAAAAAAATTCTCGGCCCCCCCTATTAGGAAATCCTGGATCCGCCCCTGAGATATGCAGCACTATCCCTAGCGATATATTACCAACTTGGAACGTGA